GGAAGCAAGCTGTGGTGTGGAGGCTTGCATCACGGAGCTGCTCAGGATGAACCTCAGCAAAAATCTCTGCATCTCTCTCCAGGCCTTCATTTAAGAAGACACATTTCAAAAGGAGATGTGTGACAGTCTCTTCACCAGTGCAGCTGCTTCAAGGGCATACATTTGACAGACATTGCTGGCAAGATCAACCCTTACTGCCCACCCCTAATTATCTTGAACTGAGCTGCTTGCTGGGTCATTTTGGAGGGCAATTAAGAATAAAACACATTACTGTGAGTGTGAAGTCACTTATAAGTTGGATTATATAGAATGACAGTCTCCCTTCCTGAAATGATTTAGCGAATCTGACGGGTTTTTTATGGCAACCTGTTCATGGTGCTATCTTTGTGGTTCAGTTTTTTCTCTGTTATCAGTGCTCCCCAAGACTTATCCCACTGTAACCCCATCTCAAGACATAAAAGTTATTGTCACCCCTCAGTGAGAACTTTCAGAGATCAGCAGAAACCCACCTGGTTTACTGATGTCCTTTTGGGAAGGAAGTATACCATCCTCACCTGGTCTAGCCTAAATGTGACTCCAGGTCTGTAGAAATATAGTTGGACTTCTGACTACCCTTGACATGGCCAAGCAAGCCACTCAGTTGTATCTGAGGGCAACTAGGGGTGAGCAATAAATTTTGGCCCAGATCACATCCCATGTGAGAATTACATTTTAAAAAAAAACCTGTGGTCTGTGAGAACAGGGGACAGTTAGTGTGGACGCTCAGTTATTATAGTTTGGTTGGGACAACAGGGCAGCCATTGTGCCTTAGAGCTCAGGACCCTGAGATTTCAACCCATGTCAGCAGTATGGGTCCTGATCTCCACTTTGGAAAGCCCTGTATTATTGAGTGGGGCTGGATGGGATGCTCTTTGGAGATTCAGTATGGACTTAATGGGCTGAATGGCCTGCTTCTGCACTGTAGGGATTCTATGGTTCTCTGAATTGAAATTCACCGGGTGGTCATGAGTGAATCTCGAACTCATCCCTTCAGGTCGCTAGTCAAGTTGTCTGGATTGCTGGCCTGTCGCTCTTGTTCCATGAAGCCCTTTAATTCCTGATTAATTTTCCATTTACCCAGTGATCATTGCCATAGATTCTATCAGCTCAGTTGTTTGAGGCATCTATCAGTTATCCACTAAACACATGTTTCAAAACCTCACTGCCTTTTCCTCACCAATTGTTAATCTATTTATAGGCGCAAAATTAATTTAAAAGCATTCACCTTTAGGGAAGCCCTATCATTTTACACTTCCACTTGCCTATTACAGTACTGTATAAACTGATGCTCATAATAATCTGTAATTTCAGAATTCAGACTTTGATGTTTTTACCTTAATTGCTTATGTACTTGATGTAAATGACCCATTTTAAAAAGGTTAAATGTTAAAACTTAAAAATAAAATTCTGAAAAGTGACTAGAATGTGAAGTAATATTCTTGTTGGCAATTGTATCTAAGCACTAAATAATTGTTACGTCTCATGAAAATTGCAGGGTACGTTTCTTTCTTTTTGGCAAAATGTTAAGGTGTTTCTCCCTGTGCCCATTCTTTTCTGATGCATTAAATAAATGATCAGATCCAGATGGATAATCTAATCAAATAACTCTTGAATTTTTTTTCAAATCAACACTTGAGCACCTCTTTATAACTAAAGCTCTCCTGAGCCAGATGGCTTTCCGCCACCTGAAAGCAACTAATTAATGAGAATTACATTTCAGAGTAACTGTAGTCAAGCTGCCTTAAAAAATCCTGTCACATAACAAAACACGACCCAAAATGAATAGTGACATTTGCAAATTGAAAGCTCCTGTTGTTGACTTGCTCTACATATTTTCTAACCCTTCCTGTTCCATGTAGATTATTGCCCATTTCCAAATGATCTAGTTACGGTGGTGGGGAGCTACCCTCTTGCATCGTTCTATTCAGTGTGGTATAGGGACAGCTACAGTGCTGTTCAGGAGGGTGTTCCAGAATTTTGACCGTGGTGAAAGAACAGTCATATAGTTCCAAGCCCAGCTTGTGTGTGATGTAGAAGGGAGTGTTCACCATGGCAGTTTTCCAATGCATCCACTGCCATTGCCCTTCCAGGTGGTTAATGTTGTGGGCTTGGAAGATGCTGTTGTGTGCAGTCTCTGTATTTCTGAATGGAGGCAGTTATTGTTTAAGCTGGTGGATAGGTTCCAATGAAACATGGAGTCTTAATCTTCTTGAGTGTTATTGGAGTATGCTTGATGGTTGACTATCCAGTGCATCAGTGAGGGAGTGCTGTTTGATTGGAAATAACAGCCTGATGAGTATATATTACAGAGAGATCTCACTCACCAGCTTAAGTGCACACAGGAGATTCTGTAGTACAATTGGAATGAGAAACAGGGAAGGCTCACATCCATTGCAGTAAAAGGCAAACTCTCACTAGGAGAATTATTGTGAATTTATCACAAATCACTGTAACCTCCTCTTTTAGGGAAAGTAACTTGTGCCAGGAACATTCTCAAATTCTTGATGTATGTTCCCAATGAGCAAAACTCCAAGTTGGAAGCACGCATCAGAATGTCATCCCAACAGAATCAATAAAAAAAAATTAATCTCCTTCTGTATAGTGGGACTGTGAAACCCATTTACACTTTCCTTCAAAAATCATTTGTTTGTTGCTATTTCTATTTCGTGGTGCAGTGCATTCTTTTAGAATTAAGCATATCTAAAGCATTTGATTATCATTCTAGATACGTTCATATTTGGAAATGAATATGGCTGGTCCAGTTTTGAAGATCAGCACAGTGGCTTTATTCTGAAGGCACATTTACCCTTAGGCAATATCTTCAGGGAAGGCTCTCCCTTCTTACATTGTTTGCATTAGTTTTTCACTGATATTGAATTTCCTCACTTGCAGCATAGTTGTTTGATGAAAACTGAAAGAACTGCGGATGCTGTAAATCAGGAACAAAAACAGAAGTTGCTGGTAAAACTCGGCAGGTCTGGCAGCATCTGTGAAGGAAAAATCAGAGTTAACGTTTTGGGCCTGTGACCCTTCCTCTGAATGTTCGGAGGACCTGAAACATTAACTCTAACTCTAATTTTTCTTCTCAGATGCTGCCAGACCTACTGAGCTTTTCCAGCAACTTCTGTTCTTGTTCTAGTTGTTTGATGAACTAACTAATGTTATCACTTTTAACTTATAAGCAGCTTCACAGTGCATTCAGTTTTTCTGTGGGCCCATTTTCTGGTTTACATTCAACACGTCTTGCGTACTTTGCTTTGTGTGTGTGTGTGTGTCTGCTCATCTCTTTTGCAACACAGTCCCTATTCCTGCATGATCTCATCAAAGACGCCCTCCCACCCTGGTAAGACTCTTTTCCAATCTCTTCTGTCAGGCAGATGATACAGAAGCTTGAACACACAAACCAATGAGTTAGAACAGCTTCTTCCCTGCTGTTATTAGACTGCTGAATGAGCCCCTCCAACTTTAAATAAAGTTAATCTTGCTAATGTTGATCTTGCTTTATGAACGTCCTATGCAGTGTAACCTGAATGCCTCGTTCTGTCTAAGCGTCCTGTGATCTGTATGTCCTTGTATGCTACAATCTGCCTGTACTCCTTGTTAAACAAAACTTTTCAGCGTACTTGGGTACATGTGACTACAATAAATCAAATCAAATGCATCAACTGACAGATTAAGGTAAGTAAAAGATGCTTATCTCAAATGAAAAATTGAGGTTGACTACACATGGGTAGAACATTTTACATCTGATCGAGGGTTGACTTGTATGTGAATATGTGTAGGAGCATGATCTTTGGCCCCATGAAAGTGGGTTTGTCGTATACTCCTGTTTGACATATGCAGTGCAATCTATGGTCATTCAGTGAGTTGTGGACAATCTTGTTAATAAATGTTTTCCCTTGCATTTGAAAGTTGGTCCAGTCAACTAATTAACAGCAGTCTTGAGAAGTTTTAAGGTTCATTGTTTGTTTGATATGGCGGCTCTCATCTCTGATAATTTGTTGTTTGCTTATGCAAAATACATATGTTTGATGGCAAAATAGAATAAAAATGCTTTTTTTTTGCATCATTTTTATTACATGAGTTTGCTCTTCAAAGTCACCTGGTCATGAAGGAATATCACTGCAAGGGTACATTCACAGCTGAAACAAATTAAGAATCAACTAGACACTTCTCCTGGAATGATGCGTTTTTGTTACCATAGTAATAGTTTCGTAAGCACATGTGAGAAACAGCAATATGATAATGTAGGAGAGGAGGAATTTTGAAGAATATCAGAGTAGGAGATGTAGAGTGTCATCACAGCATAATCAAGGTGTCTTCACTGAATGCAGTTTGGACTATGTCAGGCTAAGTCAGCAATTGAAAACTGTGACTAAATATGCACCCGAGAGAATCAGCATGATGAAGTTTTGGATTTGAATTCAAATAATTCAGTGTAGACTTCTCTATCTGCCACAGAGATTCTTTAATAATCCATCCTCTGCTTATAACAAATCAAAATGAGCGACTCTTAGTCCTCATCAGTTTAAATTGATCGTAATGTTAGAATCCAGGCAATTGGGAAGCGAAGCATTTCTCATTGATAATTCTATTTAAAAATTGTTCAAAGGTGAACTATCCTGAAACATCCATCTATGGTATGGTGAGAACATTTAGATTCAGAAATACTTACAGATGATGAATATTAACTCTAATCAGACAAGAGAGACACCTTCAGGACAATCAAACAGATGAATAAAATATTTATTCTTTCCACAGAATTTAGAAAAAAATGCAGATACACTAACTTTGTGAAACTGTGAAGGACACATTAATGAAACAACCATAAGTTCCTGCCTTATTTGTAAAGCACAGGATGCATAGTGTATGACACACAAAGGGATGGTGAAACATTTATCCTACTTGCAAAGTTTAATAATTTAAGAAATTTGAAATAATAAAATAATTCTCTTACACAGAATAAAAGTCTGAAAAACAAACTTCTGTCTGGAAGCAAGCAGTGTGGCATACATGCAGAGCAGGTAGGTTCAATTCATAACGATTTGGCAAGCACATTTGAATGAGCTAGAAGCATTTTTTCAGCATTTAAATTATAGCTGATATTTTCCATCCATTCTTATCTTGTTTCTGCAGTCCAAAAGAATCCAGTCACAGCTTAAGGAGCTACACTATGGGAAGAAAGATTTGATTTTTAAGGTGAGGCAATGATTATTTGAGACAGCGTGTTTTTACATAGGTAATGTGCAACATTTTGATAAGGGCTTATGATGTTGTGCTCACTTCAGAGAAGGTACTGAAGTTGCAGCATTCAAAGGTTTTGAGCAAGGTTTGTAGTAAGTGAAAGCTTCTCAGTGAGATTGGCAAAATCACTGCTGATCATAAGGAAAAAGTTGTTTCCTCCAGAGAAGATTTTTTGGGTTGTTAACATTCGATGCAGTGGTTATTTCAAATTGAAATTTCTTTAGATTAAACTCTGTGTGTATGCATTAATCAAAATTAAAGCATTATAAATTTTGTTAAGTTCAGTTTATTTTCAAGTGTATTGAATAATTGACTAAATAGAAAACACGCCAGGAGACATCCAATTCTCATGTGATGGAAAACAAATATTTGGTGAGGTCAAATAAATAACTGTTGTGATTTTTTTTATTTCTTAGTTTTATTGTCATGTGTACTCTAGTATTTAAACACAGGTGCCATTTTGGGTACAAGTAGCCAGGTACAGAATCTTAAGAACATTACAGTGTGTATGACTGTGTGCATGATCGCGTAATTCAAAATGGAATTTTTTGTGCACTACTACATGTAGGCACTTGGTCTGGTTGCCTTCCTCAGTCAGAGCACTGAGTAGAGGAGTATAGGGGATATCGTGTTCCACATGTATAAGAATTGGTTGAGCGACATTTGGAATACTGCATACAATTCTGGTCACCCTGCTATCGCAAGGTTGTTATTACCCTGGAAAGGGTGCAGAAAAGATTTACAAGGATGTTGCTGAGACTGGAAGGTTTGAGTTATAAGGAGTGGAGAGGCTGGTACTTTTTTCCCTGGAGTGCAGGAGGCTGAGGGGTGACCTTTTATAGAGGTTTATAAAATCACAAGAGGCACAGATCCGGTGAATAGCTAAGGTCTTTTCCCCAGGGTCGGGGAGTCCAAAACTAGACAGTATAGGTTTAGGGTGAGAGGGAAATGATTTAAAAGGGATCTGAGGAGTAACTTTTTCACATTGAGCGTGGTACATGTATGGAATGAGCTGCCAGAGAAAGTGGTAGAAGCGGCTACAATTACAACATTTAAAAGACATTTTGACCAGTACATGGATTGGAGAAGTTTAGAGGGATATGTTCCAAGCACAACCAAATGGGACCAGTTCGGTTCAGGAAACCTGATTGTCGTGAATGAGTTGGGCCGAAGGGTCTGTTTCCATTCTGTATGACTCCATAACTCTCCTCAAGGTGTTGTATCCAAATGTGTATCTTATATTTTAAGGGTTTTAAGGTGTTAAAATTTGGAACTGATGTCTTGAGAATGTGACTTAGAGGGAGAGAGAGATTCATCATGGCTTAAAAAAAGTTAGTCATCCTTCTGTTTAATAATAATAAATTATCATAGGAACAGGAATTGGCCATTCAGCCCCTTGTCCCATCATTCAATGAGATTGTGGTTGATCCATGGCCTAACTGCATATACCTACATTTGTCCCATGTCCCCTAATACCTTCAAATAATACAAAAAAATCCCAGATTTAAAATGAACAACTGATCCAGCATCCACTGCCATCTGTGGAAGAGAATTCCAAACCTCTACCACCCTTTATGTGTGGAAGGGTTTCCTAAATCTCTCCTGAATGGTCTGGCCCGAATCCTCAGACTATGTCCCCTAGTTCTAGAATACCCAACCAATGGAAACAGTTTTTCTTTATCGGCCCTGCCTTTTCCTGTTAATATTTAGTAGTCTTCAATCAGATCACCTTCTAAATTCTAAATAAAACAGGCCTAATTTGTGTTATCCCAGCTCATAACTTAACCCCTGAAGTCCAGGTTTCATTCTTGTAAACCTACATTGTACTCCCTCCAAGACAATCTATCCTTCTTAAGGTGCCTTTCCTTGCAACTGCAGGAAGTGCTACACCTGCCCCTACACCTCCACCCTCACCTCCATCCCAGGCCCCAAGGAAACCTTCCACATTAAACAGATGTTCACCTGCACATCTGCTAATGTGATATACTGTATCCGCTGTTCCCGATGTGGCCTCCTCTACATCGGGGAAACCAAGCGGAGGCTTGGAGACTGCTTTGTGGACCACCTACGCTCGGTTCGTGATAAACGACAACACCTCCCAGTCGCAAACTACTTCAACTCCCCCTCCCACTCCTTGGACGACGTCCATCCTGGGCCTCCTCCAGTGTCACAATGATGCCAGCCAAAAACTGGAGGAACAGCACCTCATATTCCACCTTGGAAGCCTACAACCCAGTGGTCTCAATGTGGACTTTACAAGCGTCAAAATCTCCTCACCCCCGTCCTCGTCCCAAGACCAGCCCATCTTGTCCCCACCTCCTTGACCTGTCCGTCTTCTCTCCCACCTATCTGCTCCTCCCACCTCACTGACCAGCCCCCACTTCCTACCTACACTCACCTACTAGTTTCGTCCCTGTCTCCTTGACCTGTCCGTCTTCTCTCCACCTATCTGCTCCACTATCCACCTTCTATCACCGCCTCCCCCTCTCTATTTATTTCAGAGCCCCCTTCCCCTCCCCCATTTCTGAAGAAGGGTCTAGATCCAAAACGTCGGCTTTCCTGCTGCTCTGCTGCTGCCTGGCCTGCTGGGTTCATCCAGCTCCACACCTTGTTATCTCTTAAGGTGTGGTGCTCAGATCTGCTTGCAGTACTCCTCATGGGGTCTAACCATTGTTTTGTTAACTGCAGCACAGATTCTTCATCCTTGTGTTCCACCCCTCTAGATATAAAGACCAGTATTCCATTAGTTTTCTTGATTTATTTTCTGCACCTGCTTGTGTCATTATAATAATATAGTTAATGTTCAAACATCTCAAAGACAATAATTTCTTGACTAACTAAACATATACCACATAAATTTAATTGTTTTGGATTCAAAATGTTAATAATGATAATATTGGTAGTAGCAACAAAAAGCCAGAGGATCTTTTGACAAAATGTTTTGGCCTGACCTGTTGAATATTGTCAGCACTTTGTTTTTATTTCAGGATTCCATCATTTACAGTGTTTTGTTTCTGTTTTGATAAAATGCCATTTTTATTTCCCAATAATTCAAATGAAAGTTCAAAATCTGAACTACTGAGTAAGACTATTAATTTTTCTACAAAAGTGTATGGAAAATCAGGAAATGATTGTGTGAAGAGCTTTTTGACTTTGATTTCACAGTTTTAGCTAAGTAGCAGTTATACGTGCAATCAAGTTAGTACAAGAATGTTCAACAAACTTGAAGATCAATAAAGCAGGTCTCATTAAAATCTTAAGAAAATAACCATCGATGGGATATTAAGACCAGATGGGACCATATCTGAATCCTTAAAGCCCATGAGAAAATGTAGCACCGAAATAACTAATGTTTCTAAGAGAAGTACAATTAAATGACTTTTATTTAAAGGCTGCAAGTTCGGTACATTGTATCTCAATGATCAAAAGTGCAATGACTGGTTAACTGAAAATATGGTGTTCTGAAGAGGTCATACCAGACTCAACAAAATAGCTCTATTTGTCTCCGTAGATGCTAAGAAACCTGTTGAGTTTCTCCAACATTCTGTCTTTGCTTCAGATTTCCAGCATCTGCAATATTTTTGTTTTAATTATAAATTTAATGTGAGAAAAATATTGAAGGGCATTTTAAAGGATGACACCAGTGATCATTTAGAAGAGAATTGAATAGGGGCCGACTCTTTTGTTTTACTGTACAAATTCAACCTAGACTGATGGATTATTCTTTTCTCTGCTGTAAGTAACTCTAAATTATTTCAGTCTAGTTACTTCTGACGTGGAGGTGTGGTGTTGGACTGGGCTGAACAAAGTCAGAAGTCATACGATACCAGGTTATAGTCCAACAGGCTTATTTGAAATCACAAGCTTTTGTAGCACTGCCCCTTCATCAGGTCAAGAAACTTACTATTTGCCTGATGAAGCAGCAGTGCTTCGAAAGCTTGTGATTTCAAATAAACCTGTTGGACTATAACCTGGTGTCATGTGACTTCTGACTTAGTTACTTCTGGACAAGGGTCATAAAAGTGCCTTAAAATTCATTCTGAGTGAAACGTCACTGAGACTACTGTAAGTGTGTTCGATCTGCAAAATGGAACAACCGGATATAATGGATAATTTTCTGTTGTACATGTCATATGTCTTGGGATGGACTATTTAGGAGCTTTATTTGCATCTAGTTAGTATTATAGTTCCCAAACTGCAGACCGAGGATAATAGAAATCACTGACCAGGTTTCTTTGTATAACAAGGATCACTATTTATTATAAATCATCATACTCTAGCTATATGTAAACAAGCTAAATTATATAAACTCTATAAACAAACTCTAAACCTCTTATAAACCCCCTTTACTCACAGACAGACAAACATAAATGACACATGGGCAGAGGGAGAACAGTTCTGTAGTCTGTGTTCGGAAAACGCGTGGGTTCTTGCTGATCTGAAAGCTCCTCCTCGGTCTTGTTTTTCCGAACGCTCCCATTGATTTTCATGAGGCACAGGGTGGTTGATCCACTTATGAAAGGTCTCTGATTTATTCAATTCAGAGTCACAACTTGCAGCATGTGTTGAAGGAACGAGCAACTGATTTTCTTCTGGTTTAAAGTGACTTCCTGCAGAGAAATGAAAGAACTGCTGCTAATCCATTTCTGTCCTGCTCACAGCCCAAGATGTTCAGCAAACTAACAACCAACCACTGTACTATTGGCTGGTGGTAGAACTTTATATTTTTTTTAAACTCGTTCAGGGGATGAGGGTGTTGCTGGCTAGGCCAGCATTTATTGCCCATGCCTAAGAGTCAACCTAAGTTAAGTGTCTGGAGTCACATGTAGGCCAGACCAGTTAACGATAGCAGTTTCCTTCCATAAAGGACATTAGTGAACCAGATGGGTTTTTCACCTGACAATTCGCAATGGATTCATGGTCATCATTAAACTCTTAATTCCAGATATTTTATT